AAGACAAATTTTGTTATATGCGTCTGCGTGCGCATGTACAAATTACATTGTTCACAACTAGTTCCAAACTTCTCTATTTTTATAAACTACGTTACGTGCAATAATTTCAAGAAAGAACGTTTAATTTTTTATTTGAAGTAAATTGAAGTGCATGCGCATATACATGCGTACACACGGCGGTAAAGCATTTGCAAACATTTCGTCGGAAGTAGATATTCCGTGGAGAAACGCATTTCTCAGAGTGTGCCCGACGTTTTTCTGGGCCTCCTGGAATCTTTCTTTCGTGAAAATCTCTGAGGAGGCAGATGGCGGCAGATGGTAGGCTATTGGATCAGGTCAGATCTCGCGGACAAAGAGTATCCGAACCTGCCGCCGTGAGAGGAGAATCCCCACGGTAAAACGCATTCCTTGGCTCCGGGATTGGGCGACTATAATGTGCACGTACCTGCAACGGGCACTTCGTGTAACGGGGTCTTCACAATTGGCGCTTTGTGGCAGCGAAGTTGCCGTTGCACTCGCCCGTACTCGTTCATCGACGTGTTAAGTCTTGTCCTTCGCCCTTCCGCATTCACTCTGGAATTCCGAGTTGATTTAAACGGCGATGACGTCATTGCCACTCGAGTACCTTAGAGACCTTCGCAATCCGGAGCTGTTTAGGAGTGGTATATAAAGATCTATAGACGGAACGTGCCACGCGTGTCTTTCGAATCTTTGATATCATCAATACGTTCCCTCGTAATAATCTGTACTTGACGTAAAATCGTGTTTATCATGGTCGGAGTATAATGGTCGATATTCATATCTCATGTTCAGCGCTAAATATCACCCTTCGGTGATGAAATCATCGTATACACCCGATCCTTGTGCAAGACGAATAAAACACTGAATAAGGCGATTATAAACCCGTTAATGTAAACCAGCTCATTTACTAGGTCTTTTTAAGACGAATACGCGGCTAACATTTATTTATTATTTTGTTTGTTATGCATATTATAAGAAATATACGACCAATAATGACATATGCATGATATATTACATTTTGAGGCAATTATATTATTTAATTTTAAATACAATTTAATCTAATGCAATTTAATCTGTTTATATTTGTCATTTCTTTCGGAAAATTATTAAATGGTAAACTATGTGTTGACATTTTGTCTGTATATTCAACGCAAAATTAGTTTGTATATTATGGCAATACATTATCGATACATCTCCTTTTATTACCATACAGTCATCGAAATTATCGAGTTCGGTTGAAACAGTAATTATGTTTCATATTCGGCAATCAGCCTTTGTCGAATTTTCAGTTAATTTTATCATGAACCCGCGTATATTCTAGGATAATGGAATTGTCCGAACAGTGCAGTTAAAGTCGAGTCGCAAGGAAAATAATTTTTAATTGCTTCTATTCGCGGTGTATATGACGTCAATCGCATAAGAGAGAAACAACTGTGAAACCACCGAAAAATTAATCGGAAATATAATTTGGTACATTTATCGACAATTCGGTACACGTGATTGGTACAGTATTATTTCTCGTTAATCCATTGCATAACGATTGTGCAATAATTCTCATTACGTTTCTCTGTTACGTAATACTAGTCCCTT